TAATTAGGATGCCCATGGATGGGCATAGAAGAGTGGATTATGTGGCAAGTTAAATCAGTAACTATCTTTAGATTAATTCTTTGGGTTGATGTTACAATAACTGGAAACATGGGCCTTTGTCTTGATTTGGATTTACCCTTTTTGACTTCTGAGGTTCACAGGACATGTATATGCTCTCAGTAGGCATGGTGTCTCTTCCTATCTCATTGCTTCATACTTCACAAGAACATGAGAGGCACGATATTACCTTTGACATGTAACGTGTTCATTGAACTAGAAGATACCTTGCTCAGAGATAAGTGCTAAGCGTTCTTAGAGAGTTTAGAAGAGAAGGAACTTCTTAGGACTATACCCATTCCCATATAACTTTTCAAGTAATTTAAAAATTCTTGAGTCAGGTACTCATCTTGTAAATATGGCTCTGCTAATGTTGAACTGGCCTTCTTGCGTGTATTATTTACAACAGCATCTATTTCTGTCTGCTGTGTGGAGGAAACAGAGAAAATAACTTAATTGCAAACTCCCAACTCTCTTCAGATTGATCATAAGAAAGTGGTTTTGTGAAGATCTTTGATCTTTATTCAAAATGTAAATGCATATTCAACTTTAACAAACTGAAATTATACATGAAATCTATCTCTTGAGCAAACTATCTTTTAAAATGTTTTAATGGAGAGAGACCGACAGAAAATGAACATTGCTGCAGCTTCATTGTCTTTGGCTCAGGCTAACAGTAAAGAAAGGAAGATTATTTTATTAGAAGGGATAAGGAAGTAAAATATAAGCAATTTACTCTCCATCAAAAAACCTCACTCTTCAATATTATTCAGTAATAATACCTAATCTATTTTTTCTGAGATTATGATAAAACTAAACAAAATAAATCAATGATAATACCTTGTTCTTATTACACACCTGTGGTGGCCCACTCAGCAGTAGCCTTCTTGGGTGAAAGGTGTCCATCCTGCCCTCATTTCTATTGTTGTAGTCCATATGGATTGGCTTGGGAACTGTCCACTGGCGGTAGTATAGAGACTGCTCTGTGCAAGTCATCATCTTACTCATAAGAGGACGAAAAGAACTTGCCCACATAACAGAATGATAAGGCAAGAGGGAAGATGATTTGGGAAGTCCACTGCTGTCTGTAGAAGTAATAATGTCATAAACCAGCTTGGGCAGGAAAACTATGGGAGGTTGTTTTGATGCTTTGGTCATGGAGCATTGAGAGGTCTGTAGGATGAAGGGGTTATGAGTAGGTGCAGAGGAGGAAGAAGAGGAGGAGAAAGGTGAAGAGGATGATGAGGTGATGGAAATTTGGGCACTTTTTATGTTTTGTTTTGTATCCAGCTGTTCAGTTACCGGTGGCAAGTGTTTGCTGATAGTTGTCTGTGCCCCTTTGTCTACTTTCTGCTTCTGCCTTTCATAGTTATTTGTGGTTTCTTCAGCGCTGTTGCTTAGGACTTGGTGGGGGGATTTTGCTGTATCTCCTGCTGCTATTAAAGGAGGAGATGACTCACTGCAGAATGCTGTAACTAAAAGAAAATTTGTATTTCAACACAGTGCAACTATCTCTGCTAGTCAATGCCATAATTAAACAAAACAAAAAAACAATCATTCAGATAGAGTACCCATCAAACAGTGTAATCCCACTCCTGTTTGTTCTTTCACCTTTCTCATACAGGAAGTCATAATGGGACTAGTTTGGAGTATTCATCTCAACAAAGAAAGCAGCTTTTGAAGTACTGAAGTGCACAGGAAAGATGTCAGTGTTTGTCCTGTACTCTACTTCCCTCATCCATTCCTCACTTAAGGTGGTCATCAGATAGACAATTTCATCACTCGAGACAAATACAAAATTACTGAAACAATTGTTTAAGAGAGTGTAAAAAAAATAAGTATCCACAGGCTATTACCCCATCTGACTACCAAAATGTCTACACAGATTAACGTCTAGAAACAGTCCTCTGAGTAAGATCTGACCTGACACTCATCTGTTTGTGTCACTACAGCACTTAGTCTGATCTAATAAAACCTGGCTCTCAAGTCTCCAGTGCTACAAAATGCATTAATGCAATCATAACAGCTTTTGGTCAGCTCAGAGCACATATTGAACGCACAAATGTTGGCCTTGAATATGTCATGTAGATATACCCCACAGCTAATTGCTGATTTTCTGAAAGTGGTATATTTTTACTTTTTGTATTCTAACTACTAAGATTTCCTGAAGGTTTAATGCCTTGTTTTAAGTAGTTCTGAGCACCTTTAATGCTTAGTGAATTCCAAAGAGCAGATGCAAATACTTCATGGTCTTCAGAGTAGACTGAGAACTGGTTGAGGAATCAGACTCCACATCGTACTAGAAATATCTGTCTGAAGCTGAACATAGATAAAAACAGCTTTCCTCTGCTGGTGAAAACAATAGTCTTGGTTCTCAGAAAAAAACCCACATTTTGAACTAATGGAAGTCCACAGTTTCTCTTGGTCTCAAGAAACAGTAAGATATATTCTAGCTGCATATTAATCTAAAGTCGCCAGTAAAGGACATTAGCCAAAAATACAAAAATATTGCCAGCAGTATGAATGGTTTCAAGTAAAACCACTGTGACATCCCCCAAAATACCAATATCCAGGAGCACAGAAAAAAGGAAAGGAAAAAAGATTTCTGTAGCTGCAGGCAAGTTGAGGCCACAAAGCCACAGGCAGGCCACATGGACACCGTGGAACAGATGAGCAGCCCAACTTCAAAGAAGAAAAAGACATTTTGAAAATTAAAGTGTTGATGAAGCTTATCCAAATGTTTTCAAACTTTGTTTCCTTTTGTAACCACCATGTCTGTAGAAAAGAAATCATGGGCCAAATACACATGTCACCATGTTGAAAACTAAAATTAGATCAGAAAGAATTTACTGTCACTGACAAAAAACAACATGCTTTAAAAAGCTGCATGAGATTGCAACTTACAGGAAGTTACGGTACAATGTACATTCCCCACTTTTATTCAACTCTCCTTTTAATATTATCTGTATAAAAAATGAGAAAATAAATTTATCAAAAAGAGCTGTAGTAGTTCTCAACATTGCCTCATGCTTTCTACATCAGTTTGCAGATTAAAAAAGTGAAAGATTTAAAAAATTATCCACTCCAAAAGAGCTTTCCAACAGTGCAAAATTAATGAGTGAACATTCCAGAGCAAAAACAAAAAGGTAAATATACCAAAGAGAACAAGCATGCTTTTTCTTCCCCAGATTTTCAAAAGATTTTAAAAAAATGTGAAGCATGTTTTCTTTTTCATAAAATGTCATAGCTTCAGTGAACACAGTTGGCCATCACAGTACTGAGCATTCATACCTCAGTGGCACATATTAAAGTGCCTGGTTTAGGCACCCCACCCTATGATTATTTTTCAAGCAAGAAACGATCTTATTTCTTATATTTCAGAAGTCTGATCTTTATTTTTTTAAAAAACTATCTTTAGTGGTCCCATTAAAATAGGCCTTACCAAACTGTTAGTGATTTATGCCTTATATTGTTTATCTAATAAGCTGAATAAAAAGCCTCTTTTGTGTCCTAAATGAAACTGAATAGAGATGATCTTAAGGTCTTACTGGAAGCTTTTGAAGAGAGAGATGAAGATGCAGAGTCATGGGAACGAGACCTTTCTCTTTTCATAGGACTTCTCTTTTCTGAAGTAGAACCTGTTTCATGAATGGTGGTAAGGGAAAACAAAAACAAAATATAATTTAAGTATGCTTGTAAGAAGGCACAGCTGCAGCGTCAAAGCAGGGGAAAGTACACAAGCATTTGCATGGGGTTTGTACTCATTCTGACACTGTTTTCAGTATGGAGAGTATCTGTTCCTAGCACACAATACTGGATCAGCCTATAGTCAAATCTAACTATGCTGAGCTGCAATAGCTTCACAAAATCAGTGCTGCAGCCGGGAGCTGGTAATCTCTAGGCATGTCTCAACCATGTTTTCTCTTTCTACCCCATGTCTTAGTTTCCTCACTAATCCAGTGTCAGGGAAACAAACAGGCAACAAGCTCTATTTTGTCAGTATATTATCAAATTACCTCCTACCCCATACATTTACAGCTTTATGGCCAGATCGTATCTCAGCTTTTGGTGATGAAAATCCATATTTCGACGGCCACCAAGGCTATTCACTTGAGGTTCCTAGCTTAGGCTTCTAAGTTAAAATGCTTGTTTCTGTAGAGTTTTACCACGATAAACATAGACACAGCACTGCCAGCAGAAAACTTAGACTGTAAGTCTATCTATCTAAAATGTTCTGAAATGGACTCTGGAGGAGCATACATGGACTAGGAAAGCAACCTTACAATTCAGGTGCCTAACAGCTTAGGTGCCCATTTGACTCAGATCACATAAAATCTCGGCGTACTTCAATTAAAGGGACAGAAGTACTCATCACATCTAAAGTAGACTTCTATTGTAGGCAGTCTGAGTGTGACCTCAGGTATTTCATTCCTCTGTAAACACTACATATTTGATTAAAGTAAATATTTTTGTTCTGCTGTCTTTATTATCTATGAGTAAGAGCTTAATAGGTGAACAGTAACCAGCTCTCTTCCTCCTCATAGCATAGAAAAGGAAATGAAGGAAAGCTGTTTGAGATTTAAATAATCCACAGGGAAAAAAATCCCTTGTTTTCCACAGCTACAAGGCACAATAAAGAAAAGTGCAAAGTAAAGAAAAATGTAAAGGACTTAAAGATAACTGATAACACCCATCAACAATCACTCAATCAAAAAAAACCCCAACAGTTCCTGGGTAAATTACTGTTCTTTGTTTACACATTTATATGTTCTTAATTACTCTCTTAAGAAATTATAAATTCATCAACTCTACACTGTCAATCTGAATTCATGGACATTTTCAAGGAGTACTCAGAAGTTACTATATTTTCTAGCCATACTATTTAATATCTTACAAACTAGAGACTACTCGGCTGTACTATATTCGGTTTCCCCAGGAGGAACCTTCATCACTGGCAGTATATAAGCATAGGTTTGGCAGCATCAGTCAGGGCCAGTTTAGGTGGAGCCGGCCCTGCTGTGAGGGAGGGGATGGGGTGACGGCTTCCCAGAGGCAGCGCAAGGCGCGCGCTTCGCTCCTGCGAGGAGGGCAGGACGGCAGAGCTCCGGACGGGGAGAGGCGCTGGGTGCACCCGCCCCAGCTCCACTTTGCGGCTGCCAGAACATGCGGGGCAAAGGAGGGAGGGAGGGAGGGGAGAGAAGGGAGACAAAAAAAGACAGAGAGAGTGAACAGATGCAGCAGCAGGACTGCAGGAGATTTAAAAGCTGCTGCAGCAGCAGTCCCTGGGCAGGGAGGGTGAGAAAACACAGGTTCAATGAGATAAGGCAAAACTGAGGAGCAGAGCTCACTCAGTAAGGGTAACTCCAGAAACCCTCACCAAGTAGGTATCCATACAATTCTGCTTTCTCTAATACAACTCAAATAATTTTACGGCTTCTTTTATTATTACTACTAATAATACCTTCCGTCGCAATTTCTTCGTCTTCATTATCAGTGCTGCTTAGTTTCTCTGGGTCACTTTCTAACACATCATTCACAACTGCTTTCTCTGGGTGAATTTCTGAGCTCACAAAGTATGCTGCCAAACCAAGTTCTTGCTCCAAGGTTGTCCTTACCAAAGAAGATGAATTTATTAAACGTAGGTCACAGTATCTCAGTGATCTGGAGAGAAACAAGACGGACTAGAATGAAAAGTCACTGTAATCTACTCCCTTATTTCTTTTACAAACACAGACAGAGGGGAATTTTGTCATGATCTGCTTAAACAACGGATGAGACAGAACACATATATCTTTTGTGCTTAATAAGTTTACCACTATGGTGCATACACTTTTCTTTTTCTTAATCCAGTTGTGCAGCTTAAGCTAGTGCACTGAACATTAGCATCGCATAAAAAAAGAGAATAATCATTTGGGTTCTAAGCCTAACACACAGAATGGGATTCAGTTGAACATACAAAAGCATTTTGTGCCCCAAGGCATCCTGTGTGGCTTCCAGCTGCCATTCCAGAAGGCACTGATCTCTCCACACCTCCTGGCACATATGCCAGCATCATGCAGAAGTCTCAGCTACCCTAAGGTATCTAAAGTAGCTATACTTTTTTTTTTTTTTAACATACCTTTATTCTCTCTTCTAAACTGGGACAACTCTCATAATATTTTCTGAGCTATTATAACTTGCTATAAACAGAAGTTTATATGGGGTTTGTAGCTATGATATAAAAACTGCCAAAAAATGGAAAAGAAACATCTTGACACTGAAATCTGTTTTCTTCTCCCAGTAACACTGTTAATTTTTAGCCATTTGGTAAGCAATGCATAAAAAACTGCCACTGAGAAAATACTGGATCTTCTTACCGTGGCAAAGACTCCCCTTGTGGATCCGTACCACTAAATATCAATATACAAGGTAAACCTTCCAATTCCAAATAGGTCTGTGGCCTCCAATCTACATCTTCAATTTTCTGCCAGACCTGTATAAAGTAAGAAACACTATTGGACATATCTATATGGCACAAATAAAAATACATAAATATATACTTTTATTGTCCATTATATGAATCAATTTGTACAGTGGATGGATGTTCCACCAAGGGAAGCCACAGAGCAGAGCCAATTTCAACATAGGTAGATTGTAGAATTCCTAGAGCATTACAGGTAACAATCTGCCTGCTCTAAGTCCGAGGAGATTGGGACAGTATGTTCCAGTCTGAAAAGCCTCCCATCTTCCCAGCTGCATAGCACTGAGGCCAGGGCATGGATAGGTAGCGTGGATATGGTACAATGGACAGTAAAGCTGAGTAGGAGCTTTGGGGGAGAGAAGAGTACAGAGGGTTCCTTCTTATGGCAGATAATGCATGGATGTCTGAGTCCAAGTAAAAAAATGAGCTAGGAATGAGACTTTTTCACCTTAGACGAATAGGGGAAAGCTGGAAGTGTTCAACATGCACACACCACTGTCCTCACTTGCTACCCTCTGAAGTCTCCTGCTCTCCCTCAAAGCTATCCGTTTCCCTGATAACTTCATGAGAAGTTTGATAAGTAGATCTATTGTTTGTCCATTTAGCATCAGGCTATACTGCTTTACTCACACTAGTCAGTCCTTTTTGCTGTAAGACTGATCTACAGATAAGGAGTACACAGTAGGACCAACAGTATGACAGCTCAGCCTTTGATAATTCGTACATGTACCACTATTATGAATGTCAGAGAAGATAACCAGTATGTGATTCAGAACTAATACTGATTTTTCGGAGTACGTTATGCCTAATTAATAGCAGAATGAGATCAGAATTAGGCCCTGGATCTCAAACGACTTCATCTAACTTGTTGAATCAGACACAGTACAGAGTGTACCATATATCTATTGCACCATCCTAGAATGTAAATAAGTTTTTGCTTTGGTGATCAGATGATCGTAGTTTTATGAAAAGCAAGGCAGTATCAGAAGCCTTTGTTAAACAGATGACCCACGACTCTGGACCTAAAGCATATAAATTAATCCATAAACCAAACATGGTCCAGAAAGCATAAAGTCCTGAGCTGTGAATACTGGGGTGCTCTAAGACCCGTAACTAGCATCACTGATCTGGTGCCTTCATGCCACCTGCTGGTGACAAGAATAATATAACTCTCAACTGGTCACTGATTAAAATCTTTTTGCACTACGGTGATTTTGTGAGAAAATTCTGATAAAACTGTGGCAATTTCAATTGGCTTTTTTCTTTATTGCTCGTGGTCCCTGTAGATAAAAGCAGTTCAACTGTTTGGGAGGGTTGCTGCTGGAAGCCAAGTTCTAGCCATATTAGTTAATCACCAAGTTTTAACCAGCAGTAGGACAGTAGAGGTGTCACAGACAATGTGTCTAAAAGATAAAAGTCATGCTCTTTAGAGTAGTTTTTATTTCTACTAGTAAGACCCACACTTCAGTTCATGACTGTAACTCTCACCACTAAATTCTCCCCACCTACCCATCTAATGTAGCTTCCCAGTATATGTCATTCTGCAAGTTACCTTTAGTTGCTCCACAAAGTGCTTCCCTATTGTGATTCCAGAATTAGGATTTCCCAAGATTATTTCAAAGTTATCTTCAAGGGCTAGTCTTTCCCTTACATTATACAGACGTTCATATGCCACTGCAGCCAGCGGAGTACATGGAATTCTCAACACTACCATGAGGCCATGACCACTAGGGCATTGTCTTGAAGAGTTTATTAGGTTTTGGGTGATTTCCAGAGTTTCAACTGAGGTGTAATTCTTCATCTGAGAAAGACCACACACTGCCATCATAGCTGCAGAGTAGTGTTGTATGAGAACAAAAGTCCTTATCACTGCACTGTGTAATCTGGGGAACCTGAAATAAATGGTGAATTAAATAGTGAAGTATTAAAGGCTAAAGTGGAAAAGATATTTTTTAAAAAATATAGTAAACTCAGGATTTTCTCCTGTAAAGAATCCTTTGTATCTACTATACAACAGAATCTCACCAAATTGCAGTTGGATAGACTTTGCAAGGCATCATTTCACCATCAGAACTGATATTGTCTCTCCATTCCTTAGTAAAATTCTACTAAGCAAGTAGTCCAGTAAGGTTACATCACTTTTAAGTTACCAAGAATTTACTGCTGTTACAAAATTTACCACAGAATATTTGCTAAGGCACTCAGTGATATCATCAATCAAAATTATATACTCTTCCCAATGAGAATAGCATTCTTCATTACGTGCTTTTCTTAAGGGGCAGGGGGGTATGGAGGGTGGTGGGTGTTTCTCTTGTTTTCTTCCTGAAGCCCTGAACCAACTTACTCTTGTTTCCGAGAGGACTGAATACGTAGGCAGCATCCAATGAGCACTCCAAGTCCCCAAGCCCAGGTACACCCTGTCTCAATCCCCAGCCTATGGAAGGGAGAGACGTGGGTATGCAACAGCTTCCCATGCTCTGGTTTTCACAGAAGGAAACTCGGGTGCACAGTAAAAAGAACTAGGCTTGCTCAGAAGAACGCCCAATATGTGTGATCAGAGCTCCAAAGCACCCTGTAGCACGCCCCAGCGGTTAAGTGTGGGTGTGCTCAGTCTCCCAGTTAGCAATACAAATCCACAAGATTTTACTTGTCCTTTCTCATTCTTCTTACAGATCCCCAAGAGTTCATCCACAGCTGCACACATGCACGTAACGTGTCGCTACTCTTTTGCAGTGATTCTAGACTTGCTCCACAGGGACCAAGGAAAACTGATGATGTATTTTCAAGCTCTGATGTTGCTCTGAAGTTTTTATCGCTTTTTTTTTTTATTTAAGTGTACAAACCACAGTGATATGTCTACTTCTCTTTGTCATCCAAGTGCAGTATACACAAATTCTATACATCAAAATCCACCAGGGTCAGCAAGTGATAACATTGGACAAAATTAATAACACATTTGAAATTACATGATGATGCAATGTTAGCTTATTATAATATAGAAGTAGCTATTGGTCACAAGAAGAACACATTCTAAATTGGGCTAAACAGCGTGCATGTTCATAGGAAGAGGCAGCCTAGACTGACTAGATTACAGGCCAAATATATACAAAAAATAAGAACGAGTGAAATGCCCTTGAATACACAGCTGGTTTGTGGGACAGTGAGAAAAATGAAAAAAGAACCAGGCTTATAGCAAGTAACTCGAGTCACTAGAATGCACCTCCTAAATTTCCTGTGTTAAACAAAGGAGGGTACCATACCTCTTTCCCAAAGCCATGACCATTGCTTCGAAAGAGCTGTCGTACCGAAGCAGCGGAATACTATGTCCAGAGAGGGTGGACTCAATGAATTCGGACAGTCCAAAGTATTTCTTGTTTTCATGGTATAAATCTACACCCTAAATCAAATGAAGCAATAAAAATATAAAGGTAAGTCTGTCAACTATTAATTTTCAATATGTTAACCATTGGTATCCGATATATTTGCAATCACATTCTTTAATAAGCATATATCTACTCAGATATATTAAAACGAGGAGAGAAAAAAACAGAATTAATTTTTTTGAGAGAACAGAAGTTTGACCCAGTTTTTCCTTGTTTCTTTCTCTCTCTCCCTACATATACACATACATATACAGATAGAACACCTATGTATGGAACAAATATGCACACATATGAAGAAAATCCATATACTTATGCAGTAATGCACTAGAGACAGATTTTCAGATGGTCTCCAGATACATAGCTCAAAGATTTTCAGCAGAGCTACTACAGCTTACAGAAGATATAAAAGGAATAAAGAAAAAAGCAAGAAATGATAGGATAAGCACAGGGAAAAAGAACTTGCCAAAGACTGAACAAGAAAAAGCTGCCATGCAAACTTCATTCTTGTTTACAAAAATCATGGGGTGGCCACAGTTTCGTCAAGTATGTAAATGTAAAATAACTTATGAAAAGCTCACAAAAGCACCTCGAAGCATCCATCTTACATTGCTGTATGAAGAAGGCCAGTGGATCTCATTGTAAGGGCTGACATGAGTATGCTGTGTCTGCAGCGCATAGGGGAAGGAAGTCACATGGAGGGTCACAATATTTGGCGCCTCTTTCACCTCCCTGCAGTTCAACAGTCTATCAACAAGTCCTGTAGACAGTTCTGTTTGAGGATAAAGGCTATGCATAGCACTGCAAAAAAGAAACCCAAAAACTCTCCAAAGTGATCAGCACAAGGGAACATGTTTGTCAGTGGAATAGCTTTAACCTGGATGTGAAATCGAAGTTAAACACGTACAAGGAACTTAGGACTCTATTCTTTGCCCTGTTTTTGTTGCGTAGAAGGATGAGAAAAGAAATGCAAATTATTTCACTGCAGCTCAAAATTTCTGTAAGTCTGATAAGCTCTCTAGCTCGCAAATCACCAGTCCCTCACAGCTACCAGAATATGAGAGATAAAGGATGAAAGGAAGCTGATGTTTTGGTGGTTATCAATAGACACATAGTCCTGTAGTAACTTTGGCCAGATTGTTAGTGTTGCCCTTAAGAAAATATAATTCTTACCTACAAAAATCAAGACAGAAAATGACAGACCGTAAGTCAGTATGACAGAAAAACAAAGGGAAACTACCTGCAGTAGAGCTATTATGAAAGGGAAGAATAGTTATTGCTAAGGGCAAATGCCAGCATCATTGGAACACCTACAGTCAATTCCTTGCTCTGGTGTAAAACTTCAGTCCAAATTCATGCTATTTCATTTTTGGCATTTACCTGCAGTGACTAAGTTACAAGCCTAGTCACTGCAAGCTCCTTCCCTTACCAGCAGAGAGGTAAGTAACTGCAGAAATTGGTCATGTCCACCCATGAACTAAGTCAGTCCTCAGAGATGCCCGTGTCTCTGTTGTGACTGTGTGGGCCATCCCAGGCAATTACTCTCCTGTTTTAGGTGTTTTTAATGTTTTACCTCATCTAACTGACTTCCATTAGGTGGCATAAATCCTGCTGTGCAGAATAGTCATTTAATTGTTTGTCACTTACATATCTTTATTTGATAAAAGGAAAAAATATCAGAGTTAAGCAGCAGTACAGGTACTTCCCTACCACTCAAGGATGTTACATGAATAAATGCCTTACAGGCTGTGACAATTTTAAGTTCCTAAGATACAGAGGAGTTGAATAGGAAACCCTCACATGTAAAAATAAAGTTTTGGTGAAAATCATCATTCTTAACCAGTGTGAAAGACAAGACCTTGTCATTTCATTCACAAGCGAGATTCCATAGTTTTTGGTTTCCGAAACACTACTATGCTCCCAAAGTTGCAATATATTGGTCTTTCTGGAATTCAGAATGCTCTCCAAGCTCCCCAGTGCCTCAGGAGCCAGAAAGCAAAAGCAGCCCAACTTCTCAGCAGGCAGATTGCTGAGAAGCCAAGGAAACAGGGCTCTGTGAGGGAAGCAATGAGTTGTGCTGACGGGGAACTTGGTAAACATTGGACAGAAACCTCCTTGCTTCCCCGAGAAGTCTACCTCACATTACTGTGTATCCACAGAAGCTTTCAATTCTTACAAATCAGTGATTCTGGGCAGAAAAAACATTGTACTGGAAAATTTCTAATCAGTTTAAAAAAATAAGCAGCAGTCTTGGCTTACTAGTTGTCTACTGACTGTGGAGGGTTTTTGCATGTTTTACAGCCCAGAGGACACTGACAGAGGATAATGAGCTCTGTGTACTTTCACAGGAAGCTTTCCTTTGAACAAATGACAACCAGCAAAAAAAACAATAGCTGTGGCTGAAAGAAGATAAGAATGGTGAGCAAGAAAATCTGGAATGTTCCACTGAGGCATAATATAATAAGCAGGATAAGAATAAGTCATGAAGGACCTTAAAAGAAAACATGTTTGTTTGATGCATGGGACGATAGAGTTAGCAGAAAGATGCAAACAAAAATGAAGGAAGGGATAAATCAGAAAGCTGATCTTGAAAGCTAATATAAACAATAATAATTTCTCCAAAAAGAAGTTACAGTTTTCTTACCTCATAAGATCCCAGTGTGCGTGATCATGGATTAGGACAAACAGTGTATGTGGGTTCTGCATAGAGTTTTGTAAAAAGACTTTGAATTTAATCTGTGCCTCTGCATCTAATTTCATAACATACTGTTCAACCCTCTGCTTTGTAAGATGTTCCTTTTCTAATCCAAGTTCTAATAAAATACCTAAAGAAATGGAACAAATGTCAGTATTATTTTATATAAATACAAATGCATTTAACAATGTCCTGTAAATCTAAAATAAAGCTAACTAATGAGCACCTGAGTGCCAGAGATGAAACAAAGTCTGCTGATAAGTCACTTCGGAGGGTGGAACACAAATCAAGAAATCAATTTTCTCGAAGGAACCCAAATCAAGATTTTGAGTGCTGGAGTCAGCAATTGAGCAAATATGAGACAGCAATTTCTGAGCCACTGCTAGCTGGAATGGACGAATCTGATGTCGTTCAATCTCATAACCTGGAAAAAGGCAAAATTCTATTTAGATATATGCCCAAAGTCTAATCTAATGCAAAATGTTAGCATCTGGTGAAGAATGACTGATCTACTCTTTAGGGTACTTTGCTTATGAACGGGAGTTCCAGTTTATGAAAATCTATATGGAATATACAAAGAAATATTTCTGCCTTTGGGTGTTTTGGTCATGTAAGTCTCTTAAATGTCTGAGAGGTGAAAGTGAACTTGTGCAACAGCGTTCTGCCACCACAGAATTAAGAGAGCTTCAAAGACTACAATACCCGGTGGAATGAAGCAAAGGAGCCATCAGCATAAATCTGAATATCTCAAGACATGAGTTATTGTTTGCCTCAGGACTTTTGCCTTCAAGAGCCTAGGGCTCTGCCCAGGTGGATCTAACTGCACACCCAGAGACCTGGTTTCAAGTACCCTACTCTGTTACCTTTTTAGAAAATCCTCCTTACTTACTTGTACACACAGCTGCTCCAGTTCCATTCAGTGCTGTTGGTTTATTCACTGAAGCAGAAAGTGATGAAGAGATGTGCCCTTGGTTTTCCTGATAAAATTTCTCCAGCAAAAGATCAATGTCACCCTCTATCAAATTGAAGGGATAGTGGAATAAACATCCATGTTAATAAGAGCTGCATTTCATACTGATTTTGTTTTGTAGATCTTAAAGAGCTTTATATAAGCTACTAGTTATCCTGCCCTTGGCTTATTGGCTGTTTTATATAGGAAAAGTCTCATTATTTTCTATTGCATCTGTTTTTACAGCATATCACTAATAAAATGCAAATCAGGCCAGGGAATGACAGACCAGCTCTGCAGACGACTGGCTAGGGCATTTATGGAGGATGGTAGAAAACTAACCTCAAGCCCTGATGCAAATCAGCAACAACAAAGACATGAAACTGTCTTAGTTTATATTCAGATCATGGAGCTATATTGTTCACTAATAAGGATTACACAAAGCTTTGGAAAATCTGATAAATATTTTTAAATCTTTAACATTTTTGAGATACAGAAAGAAAAATACTCAATCTCAAGTGAAAGAAAAACATGAGTTTTGTAGCTACGTACAATGCTGCAGCAAGCACAGTATGTTTTATTGAACAATGCATATAGAATCATAGAATCATAGAATCTTTGGGTTGGAAGAGACCTTTAAAGGTCATCTAGTCCAGTCCCCCTGCAATGAACAGGGACATCTTCAACTAGATCAGGTTGCTCAGATATATCTGCAAATATATCCTGTTCTATTCAGCAAGGGGCCCTGCTTACAGATGAAAGTTATGCAGAGAATACAATATGCCTGTCCTGAGTATGTAGTATTTTATCAACAGTTGAAAAGATGTTTGAACATGTCTGCACTGAGCTCTGAAAGGCAGCGTCTGCCCCATGAAGTGCAATCCAGTGGATATAGATGGCAACTATTTTTAGGATGCTCATTTACTTGTTCTGCTCAAACAATAGCAATAGCAAAAGTGATTTTGAGAATCATACTTCGAAGATACTAAGAGCAGAAACACTAACACAACTACATGATGGTTCAAGGAAAATGAGTTTCTCTTAAGTGACCGCTCAAAATATCATGACACATCCAGAAGGGTTCCTGTGACCTAAGTACACATTTACTGACGTGCAGTGAATGGCAAAGGGGACCATGACATCCCATTAACACTGACAAATATGCTACATTTGCTATAGTTGTGTGATATGGTTTAACTTTCCATGTGACTGGATCTATCCCCAGATAATCCTGCCTGTAGTATAGCTCAGTATACTCAGTTAAAACATGATCCAGTAACCCTGTCTCTCTGCAATTTTCCTCTCTTTCCCAGGCATCACGATCAAGTTCACAGTATGGGAAGTTGAAAGGGCAAATCCTACCTTTGATAAAATGACTCTGTTCTATCATGGTCTACATGAATTCTGTGCTTAGGGCTAAAGAATTTATACATTCATATGGATGTGGACTTGCATATGTGTATATATATATGGGTGGATTTGCACAGCTAAGACTAATATGATCAGCTATTTGCTGCCATATTTTTATGAAACTGAGGGATTTTAGAAACTGACACTTTTAGGAGGAATTTCAATTCAGATGTACTTTCACAACTTTGTCCTGCATTTTTTATATATTTCTAATAATGTTTTGTTTCTGGAGAGGTAATGAGCACAGCTATTTTCTCTGACTTACTTAAAAGTTTCAGGGACTTGGAAACATGTCTCTTTATAACCTGTTAGGTACCTGGGCAGAGTGTGCTAAAGAAGGACCCCAGACTTTCCACTTTCCCTGTGACCAGCTGATAGTTAACTTCTTTTTGGTAGTCTGAAGGAGTGAGCATGCTCTCAGACAGAACTCTTGCCTGATACTTTCCTAAAAGACAAAAAAGTAATTTTGAAAGCACTTCAAACTAAAGTTAAAGATGTTCTAAGTCATAACGAAAGTACTAGCCAGCTAAATGAATACCACAAACACAAAAATGGCAGAAATTAGTCTTTCCTCTCTCCCAGAGAGAGTGCACCAGACACCTGTATGATAGATTCATGTTTCGTAATTCTTTGTGTTTCTTTCCCAGTTTAGGAAATATTTGTTAATACAGTATATAAAAAGACCATATAAATAGTCAAAGGAATTGTCAACTACCTTACAGTCATAATGAATCTTTGAATGGCTATTCAAATAATTTATTTAATTATCAGCATAGCCCTCAATAGGTTGTTGAAGGGAACAACATTGAAAGACCATATTTTAGAAGCTAGGAAAATATTCAGTGCCCTGCTTGCAGTAATATCCCTGTCACACAGAGCAGGAGAGCTTTATGCACCGTGTGTGCTGTAACTTGCTGTTATTTGTTTGTAGTAGTGTTGGCTGGGATGCCTTGGTGAGAAAACAGGTAACGCAGGCAGAACGTGATTTGCTGGGGGAGACTCAACTGTGCAGCATCAACTCTGGTTCATCAAAACCCATTAATTGTTAGTCAAAGCTCTTCTTTCTGAGGCAGCTTTTTGAAACTCCAACCAAACTCATAGCATTGAATCACTTCCTTTTGCCTGGAGATACACCCTTGGGATCTTACCTGTTATCACAATGCAGGAATCAATGGCTCGATTTCTACTGGCACATATGATCACCACGTAGTTTGTCTTTATTAATTTTCCTTCAATGAGTAGCTTAAACATTTCTGAAAGCCCTTCAGCCAGAGAGTAGCTGCACTCAATGATATGGACACTATCATTACAGGAGCTAGCTGCGAGACCCGCCAGCCAGGGCAGCTGGGCTGAGGTCACTGGTGCGATCTGGCTGGGCACTTGAGGAAAGGTCTGTGGAACAGCCTGTTGGTACTGTCGGATTTCAGACAGGTGTGATTCCCGCCACGAACGCATGAATATTTGTTCCAAATCCTCAATCAAAGGGACCTGGTCTGAGGCTAAAAATAAATTAAGAAGAAAGCATTATGAAACGACTAAACAAAACTGTTGAGTTAAAAACAATTTTTTTTCAAAATATATACTTTTTTAGAGATGATCATATTTCAGATTTATGCATACATGTCTCTATTTCTTTTAGAAGATGTGAACCAAATTCTTCTTTTTGAAGTGCCTTCATTATACTCAAGCAAAGCTGCCATAATTGGAACCTGAGTATCGAGTATCAAGTGCACCCTCAGCAAGTTTGCAGATGACACCAAGCTGAGTGGTGTGACTGACACACCTGAGGGACGGGATGCCATCCAGAGGGACCTGGACAAGCTTGAGGAATGGGCCTGTGTGAACATCATGAGGTTCAACAAGGCCAAGTGCAGGGTCCTGCACCTGGGTTGGGGCAACCTCTGGTGTCAGTACAGGCTGGGGGATGAAGGGATGGAGAGCAGCCCTGCTGAGAAGGACTTGGGGGTACTGGTGGGTAAAAAGCTGGACATGAGCCAGAAACGTGCGCTGGCAGCCTGGAAGGCCAACCGTATCCTGGGCTGCACCCAAAGCAGTGTGGCCAGCAGGTCGAGGGAGGGGATTCTGCCCCACTACTCTGCTCTGGTGAGACCCCATCTGGAGTCCTGCGTCCAGCTCTGGAGCCCTCAGCACGGGAAAGACATGGACCTGCTGGAGCGGGTCCAGAGGAGGCCACAGCAATGATCAGAAGGATAGAACGGCTCTGCTGTGAGGACAGGCTGAGAGAGTTGGGGTTGTTCAGCCTGGAGAAGAGAAGGCTCCAGGGAGACCTTGTTGCAACCTTCCAGTAAGAAGAAAGGTCTATAAGAAAGATGGGGACAGACTTTTTAGCAGGGCCTGTTGCAACAGGACAAGGGGTAATGGTTTTAAGCTAAAAGAGGGCAGATTTAGACTAGATCTAAGGAAGAGATTTTTCACCATGAGGGTGGTGAAACCCTGGCCCAGGTTGCCCAGAGAGGTGGTAGATGCCTCATCCCTGAAGACATTCCAAGTCAGGTTGGACGGGGCTCTGAGCAACCTGATCTAGTTGAAGATGTCCCTGCTCATTGCAGGGGTGTTGGACTAGATGACCTTTAATGGTCCCTTCCAACCCAAACTATTCTGTGATTCTATAATTCTATAAGTAATTAGAAATATTTAAGAGGTTGAGTGCTGCTTGTCTCAGCATAATACTTCTAAACCATCGACTGTATGCAAGAGCAGTGAATTACAGCTCTCTTCCTTTTTTTATTTTTAGTTGTTGAGATCCCAGATTATAGGAGAAGATGAACTTTGTATGATTATATTTCAATCTGTCTGGTCTTCAAGAGCTAATTAAATAGTTTTGCTTCTTTACCATGAATGAAATAGTTTAATATCACGTCCTTAATATTGTCCTGCCCTAATATTGCGTTTCTCATTTGCTGGTATGTAATATATGCATTTCAGTCTATCTGGATGGAAAATAATCTTACCTAGTTGAACAAGGTAGTAGACAGTCAGTAAGAGCTGCATTTCCTCTGAAATAGGCTGTATTGTGGATGCGCCGTATTGTTCATATGCTCTAGATAAAGACTGTGAATTTCTGTAACAGGTGTGCAGCAAAGGGCTCACTATCACATCATTAATGTTCCCGCAAAGGTATGGGAAGTTTCCATGACCTACAAAATAAACAGTTTGTACACATTACATTGATTTCATAATTTGCAATGTATGCATTAAACAGCTTCAATAGGTTTACCTTTTAAAATTGACAGCTTTAGCAGTGTTTAGCAGTAGGACGTATCTTTACATCTCTTACAAAAAAGATTTAAGGTCTTGTTCGGGGGGTGGAGTTTTTACCTTTAAAAATAACTGGCTTTGCTTTACAGATTTTCAGCAAGTTTTCAGGAACTGAGACCGGTTCTCCTGAGCCCACCACTGGAGATGAGGCTGGGCCTCCCAAAGCAGAATGTGGTAAAGACGATAGGCTTCCTCCATCTAAGATTTTAGACATATTATTACTGGAATCAGGTCTATTAATGATTTCCTCAAAGAAAAGTTATTCAACATCATCTCATACCCATATCTGATATCAGTATTAAATGTTTTTTACAGTTACATCACACATTTCATGAGCTGTTACTACAACCCATACTATTATGCTAACTTTCTTGGAGGAGTAATTATATTGTTGTAACCTTGAACGTTGCACATGCATCTAAAGATTTTAAAATGTTTATAAAAAAACAGTTCCAGCTATGAATGCAAGAATACAGAGACATGTGATATCACAAATAGTTATGATTTGTGTTTTTTGTATGATCTATTTAGTTTCAACGTTTCTAAACAAGTTTTCTTGCTATAGCAAGAAAGAAAAAATTAAGATTCAATGTTTCCACAATCGTAACTTCTTTATAGCAATTTTAATTTAAACAATAGCACATTAAAAGAAAACATTTTTGGGAAAGTGGGTTTATTTCACTGCATGTCACTCTAGTCTGTACCTAGACTATAAAATCCAAGTGCCAAGACTGTTGTGACAAATAATTGAAACAATGGATGGTACGTTGACCTGAGTTATGACACTAATTTTAATATCCCAAAGGTGTATTGGTGTCTTAAGATGGACACAGGCACCTGTTGGGATTTCTTAATACTGACTCAATGACTGGATCCTAATGAGAGTTAAGCTCAGAGCCTCAAAAAGAAACCAAACTACACATAAATGTAGGCGAGCATGTAGGTATCGAACACCTTTCAAAACTCTCATATGAATCTGCCTGCATCTTTAAAATATGGCCTCTTTTCCCCCATTATTTTCTGACTAATGAAACATTATCATTACCTTGGGTATAGCTTACCATTTTTAATTCTGTTTGGAGCCTGTGGGTTGAGCTGCAAGTTCCAAGTTTCAGTAGATGATGGAGATTCTGGTGACCAACCTTTATGGCGCTTTTTTGGAGGCCCTGAATTTGTTAAAGTGCCTGAATAACAGTAATATATTTCAGAAAAGTATTAGAATAAAATGTATTCAGTTTTGTGCATGGTCATTCAATACGTTTCGATAGATAGTGTGCACCAAGTACTGTGGTAGACAGGGTCAACTCCATTAATATAATAATTTTTTATGGTTTTTATTTTACTTTGCTATGTTCTGCTTAAATTTCTGTGAACTCTCTGGTGCAGAGAACTGCTAATTATCTAGGTAGATGTCACTTATTTTATACCAATGTTTATTCTGTACTAAGAATAATGCAGTAAGAATGAGACGTGTTCTAAGAAAGCTTGTAAGTGTTAATATTTTCAAGTCAACACTGTGGGCATTTTGCTCCTTTTATTTCTGAACACATGACACAGTGTTTCATGTAGCTTATTGCAAAATAACATTCTCAAGGGTTTCAGGGTAATATTAATAAACATTTGAGTTCTTTTCAACAATTTTCCCATTTACAAGACTTTTGCCACTTCTAACTCATTACAATCTTTGGGTTTATGTTATTCCAAATTAATTCCTAGCAATTTACTTCTGCACTTTCGCACTATCCACACAGCTCCAACAGCTTGGTCTGTAAAAACGTAACTTTCTTACAGTTTTTCTAGGAGTTCCTGATGATTCATAATTTATTTCTTGAATCTTCTTGTGCCCTCATGCAAACTCCTAGAATGATAAGCTTCCACTAACGTCAAGTATTTCTAATTATTGACAGTCAATGGTCCTTCATGAGTTGCTCAGCATCTTGCAGGATTGAGCTATCTCTATTTCTGGACATGACTATGCAGAGGTCTTAACATTACTTCACACTGTCAGGGCTATATCTCCTGGAAGAATGGTTAGTCCCACATAAAATTCAGGACAGAGTAAGAATCTTATATAAAAAGGGGGGTGTTAATTTGCCAAAAGGTATTAAAATTCAAAATAACCCGGAAGTTTTCAGATTTAGAATAAGATTGTTCACTTGCAGAAGAACCTTACGTACAGGCTTTCAAAGATGACTTTGTCCTTTAAACTTTTACCACGTGAGGGCAGGATTTAGCCATTTGTTCCACTCATTCTTGTATTTAGTTTCCTGGCATAATGCTGTGACAAAACTCGCAAGATAGAGCAATACAAAGAGATTTTTATTTGAAAATGCCGTATGTTTTCCTGCAGATATGTTGATATGTGAAAGTAATCCATCTGAAACGAATTGGCAAGAATATGTTGCTGCATGGAAGAAAGAGATCAAGAACCTGAATGGGCAGAGAGAAAGAATTTGGCTTTGGTGCCGGCAGGGAAACTTGGGAAGACTTACTCTAAAATAGAGCTATAGCATGTTTCTAGCCATAGTGAAGGCTAACTTTCTTGTTTAAACAAGCCAGTGACACAGAATGCCGTTTGTGACAGAAAAGAATTAACACAAACCATGACAATAAAGGTGCAGTGAGGACAGTTTCTTTAATTTGGAGCCAGTTGCCGAAGTCTAGTGCTCCATCCCAAGGTGAACCGCAACATAGGAATTATCCTATGAGTGATATAAATCTTATAAATCTTTCTCAATTTCCTTCACAAAACCTTTTGGTGAGATCGATTCAAACTGACACGTTCTTTAAGAACCTGGATTCAGAATCTAGTCTGTGCTTCTATTAAATGAATGAACTGTAAGTGGGAAGAAAAACTTCCAGTTAATAACCTGAACTGTAACAAAGCTATGGCTGAAAACATATAAACATTTTTTTTCCTGAAAATTAACACAGAAAAAAAGCGTTATCATCAAAAAGGACTTGGAAGGGAATAGTAATTTCTATTCATACAGGAAAATATGATCATGATAACATTTGTTTAATGCTTCTATTATACGCATGGAATATAGAGTTTAGGGTTATTAAACAACAAAACCATACAAATACCTAACATGGAAGGTCTTGTCAGAGCAGACAGGTTATTTTTCACCAACTGTTGTTTAGGCGATTCCTTGCCATTAAAAACAGCTGAGCTGAACGCTGCTGTTGAAGGGGTGTGATCTATGGCTGCAGCTGGCAAGAAAAGAGCAAAGTATTTACATTAAACTTTTCTTGATCAAGATCCTGAGGTAATATAATAAACTGATCACCTGATCATTTACTTTAATAGAGCCATCGGGATCTGCTCAGGGTGATTGCAATGCTGAATAAAACAAACCCACTTCTGATCTCATGCCAGGTTATTGTTGACTCCTGATTAAGTGCCTGGGTAAAATCTGATTCTCACATTAAATACATATGTCAGACCCATTAGCTTCTTTGCAGGTGGACCCTAGCTCTTACATGAAGTTTACTCAAGAACCAACTAAAAGAGTGAGAAAGGTTTAAAATTTACTAACAATCCCCTCAGCCTCCCTTCCAATGTGACATCCTCTTGCCAGGCTTTTTTTAACTGCGCTGCATTAAAAAGAGAGGTTTTCCTCAAGCCTAATATGCTTGTAACAAATGTACATTTTTTTATATATGTAACCTCTGACAAAAAAAATGCCAATCTGCTATTATAAAGAGATCAACGATCTGTTCCGGAGGGGTACCAGTATTCCAGATCACAACTATTTAACAGATTTCTATCTCACAGGAAGAATATAAGCACAGATGTGCCTCAGTTCTCCTGTGTGAATCTCCGTAACAGGCACAAGACACTAAAGAGCTGTTTTCATTATGAAGAAGCTCAGAGAAATCACTCTTGCTCGCCTCTATCATCCATCACCTTTTATTTACGTCAAGCTAATGGAAAAGCAAATGTTTCAGAAAGAATTTTTAATACAAAAGAAAAAGTTACAGATACTGATCATTAGTTTGTTTTTTTTAATATTAAAGCCACTTTTCTCAGCCAAAGAAAAAACTCAGAAGCTTTTAAGCTGATGCCCATATAATGCCCTCAGTAAAGAGGATTCAGGTCATAACATAAAATAGACTGAATCAGAAGAAAAAGCTGAAATGATACTGGTTCCTGTAACATTTGTTATCTGTGACCAGACAAGCAACAGCTGGAGGAATGTAATGCCTATTCTCAGCAACTTTAAAAACAATGGCTTTTAAAAAAATTTGGTTTGCCTCAGCTATGAGCAGGCTGCAGAACACCTATTTTATTCCTGGCTAACTTTTTCTACATAAACCCAAGGGGGGAAAAAGGGACAGCGAGAAGCCTTCAAAGTACCATCGCTTTCTTTTTTTGTAATATACCTCTAAGTCTATTCAACTTGCTTTATTTTATGTGGTAGCGTGCTCATTTGTTTGTCAAGTACGCACAAATACGCACGCGCAGAAGAGTAGGCGTCGGTGGGAACGCGGCGCGTTCCTCCTCGGGGGTACCTGTTTGCTGGGTCCCAGCTGGAGCACTTGGGTTGGCTGCTGGGGACGGCTCGCTTGAGGTGCTTCCCGAGGGGCCCGAACTTTCTGGCAGTTGGAACAATGTGCTTGAGCAGGTGCTGGATGAAGGCTGCCGGCCTCTGAAATCTTAATAAAAAACAAATTTCTTATCCCCTGACACCAGCGGCATTTGCTTTTTCTCTGCGTGTTTGAGCTGATAATTTCACACACGAGTTACTTAGAGGCTACAGCGCTTGGAAGGCAGGAACCGATGTCTTCAGACATGCCACCCTCACACTGGGTCACTCAATTGCTTTTTACAGCTGCTCTAGTAATCACCTAGCTTTGAAGAGTCCTTCTGTCAACTGCTCTGTCTTAGGTTTTACACAGACGCCAGTCCCTGCGATAGCTAAGCTTGGATGATGAAAACCAGAGCTCGAGGAAGACAGCTTCATTGTCTTACCTGCCCCTTTCCAGCAGATTACAGATCCTTTGGTCAGAGCTCCCTGTGCATTCCTGACCAGATAATACTTTAAGTGTTTCTGTTTCTTGGGTTGAGTGGTCAGTTTAAGATTAATGTGATTTGAGAATTCCGTAAAGTAGCAGAAACCCTTCTTGCCACAGCCAACACAGTTGCCAGAGAAGCCTGATAAAATAAACAATACACATAATCCGATGAGATAGGAAGGCCCCTGTTAATAACATCCAAACACGACTCTTTCCTGGAGAAAAGCTGTACTTATTTTTTTTTTCACAGTGTGAACTTTTTATTAGCATTTTCCTCCAAAAAAATATTACATCAAGTCCACTGTATTGCACTTTGGCTACCAGATTGCAAAAACAGAGGTCCACATTTACAGAACAATTAAAATAGGCCATATTTTTAATTTTCTCCCACCAGATGACCACAATTCCTATTTATTACCTACCCGTGAAACGTTAAACCAAGAAGTTTCTGACTGAAGAGTACTGAATCACATGCTTAACACCAGCCCTATTCAACACCACCAAAAGTACATGCTTCACTTCTGTTTCAGCTTTCATTGAAATTAAGCATGCAATTAAGTTTCAAAAAATTAAGTACATTTAATCTATTATATTTAATTAGGTCTAAGTATATTTAAGTACCAAGTTCCTACTACAGATGCTTTTTTAGAGAGAAAAAAAATACTAAAGCCTTCCTGGGCTATTAATTTAAAGTAGCTTTCTCAAATTATGGCTGGACCGTGTTAGCACTTCACAGCAGTTCAAAGTATTTATGAGGACAGAAACAAAAGTGTCTGCAACTTTACAGACACGACAGAGACATAGTCCTTGCACATAAAGAAGCTTATTGTACTTAGGCTTGATGGGGCATTTCCAGGGATGCTGCCATTTCCTCTCATCCTGATACACAGTTTGAGCCTCAAAGAAGGGCTCATGATGGTGATGTCATTATCATTGTAAATAAAGGGCATTCCTTGCACAGCTGACTATCTGCCTTTCATTCATAAACAACTTTTTTTGTCCGTTTTCCAAAGTATTTCCTACGAAATTTTCATCTTGCATCAGGCCAGTGCAGCTGTCTGAAAAACACTTATTATCTACAAAGAAATCCTACAGTGTGTGATTAGATTATCATCTTCCCCATGGAAATTTTCTGTCTGTTCCCTATGCGGGACCTGAAGCATGACGTTTTCTTTTATTTTAGTCATATCTAATGTACATTTTTATGTGTTATCACAGGAATTTAAATGGAAAAGGTGTGTTCAGTGAATTGAAAGGTGGCAAAAATAAAATAAAGGAAATGCATTTCACATAACAGATGGATAATAACATTAGAAATAAATAGTATAACTGGAGTAAGGGGTCAATAATATGGTAGATAAAGTGAAGAGCCATTAATGGGAATGATGATGTCAAACACGTATTTCAGGCGAATTAAGTTTTCAAATTAATGGCCAATACTTTTTTTCCTTCCGTTAAAATAAAAGCACTGAAATATAATGGTTTGTAAACACCTGTTGCTTGGTTTACAACCCAAGCACTTTCATAAGTTTTCAAATGGCTCAGAAGAATTTATTAAAAACCTAAGTTCATGCGGAAATTGGGCTGGTATCCATGGGAGCAAGTGGCTAACGACTATTGAAAGCTGCCTATTATCTCTCTGATCCTAGTCGGTAGGATGATAAAGGACATTATGACTCATAAAATCAGGACAAGTCATGACTCTGCAGAATCCTCTGTGTTATATCAGCCAGCACAAAAGCATCTGTCTAACATCACAGAGCCTTCAGTAGCTGCAATAAAAGCAACAACAAAAGGAAACAAAATTAGAACGGATGTGGCAAAAGCTATAGAGTTTGCATGCATTTTATGCAGATTAATAAATCATGAAAAATGCTTCCGCTAGTAAATGAAAACTTCCCATACATTTGGCAGCACACTGAGCATGACCAGCAGCACTGCAGTTTTTGCCTGGTTGCCACTTACAAGCCCTTACATGTTTTCAAATACAAGCATGAAGGGACCATTTCCAAAAATAAAATAGAAGTACCTGTACACTTTTGAGGTTTTATCATTTTGCTGAGAGTGTCCAGCAACTTGCCAAAACCACAGGTAGAAATATTTGGCCAACAGAAAGCTGGACGTTGGACATAAAATCTTTTCATGTGAACTTTAGATCAGTCACTATTGGTAACTCTTGTAAATCACCATTAGCCTAAACCAGATTTAGCAATAACATCTACCTGAAACAACCCTTTGCCCTTATCAACTGTTTTTAATTCTGTGATGTCTACTGGAAAATTAGTTTACACCACGTACAGCATACAGGTGAGGCCTAGGAAGGATTAAACAGATCTAAATCGTCCACTTGTTTTGAAAAGTCCTTGGAGAATATTTTAGAAGTTTATTTTCTAATTTTCCTTTGAAGTCAAACTGTCATCTTTCCACTCAAGCTTCCCCAGCTCCTCCGAGTTAGACGAAGAGTCCTTTCTTGCAAGCTCCTTGTCAACATTGGTTTTCATCCCATTTGTTCTGACTGATAGTGTCTTTGATGACGGCCATTGCTTCCTTAGTACAGCTCAGCCCTGACATCACAGATAGAATACAGCGTGATCTTATAATTCCAATGCTGTTCAGTCATTACTCATTGCAGGCCTCTGCCAACCTTGCTCATAGCACTTTATGTAGAAGACTGAGTAATGGTGAGAACCCAAACATTTCATCCTCCTCCTTTCTCTGCATGCCCTTTCGCGTGCCATGGTCTGAGGCAGCACCTGATAGAGGGGACAGCTTCCTTCATAAACAAGCTGCATTAAATATTCTTCCATACATTATAGAGAGGACAAAGGTCAGGGGAGTCGGGGCAGCCATAAGGTGACTCAATATATCTATGTCATGGGATTGATTTCACAAGAGAATTAGAAATCAATGCCCAGACTTTAGGGGCTAAAAGCCTTTCACCTTTAGGTCACAAGTTCATATCCAACTCAGTTCAGTACTGACTTAAGGCCGTTACCCTCTGAAGATTGTTTAATCAGAAGGTACTGGATTGTATCTGGAGTTTTATCATATGCATTTGCTTGAATTTGCTCACATCACAATGATCAATTGTTCATAATTTTAAAAGCTCTTCCACAGTAGGGACCTTGTGGTCAGAAGAAGGACCTTGGACTAAAAGGGTATGAAACCTGACCTACCTTCTCACTGGGGAGATGGTTCCTTTGGATCAACAGTAAGCTTGTGCTAAGGATAAAGGAAGGACTTCAGGGTGGAAGGATAACCATCTAATATTTCATAACCTAATAGTTCATAAATTGGTAGAAAATTTTCTTCCTGTTTCTCTTTTAAATTAATAACAGGCTTTTAATTAACATTAATATTTTTGTGGAAAGTTGGCAGCTTGCTTAAGACAAACAGTGATTATATTTTCAACATTTCAGCAAAAGTATTTCTTCTTTTCAGTCCTACTCGCAAGAAAAAGCACACAAACAGTGACAAATGCTCCACATTTTCCCCTCCTACTTACTACCACTCCATTTGAAGACTGAAGTCCTAAATTAAAAAAACAAATTAAATCAATATGGTCAGGCTGGGGAGCTCCATTGTACGGAAACTCACTACTGTTACAAAAGACCAACAGAACATTGTACATTTTAACAGAAGCAGCGGCAGTATTTTATTCTACAATGTTTTCATCATACACACAGCCTACAATGCAAGCAAACTAATCTTTTCCTCTGTCATTCTGACCTCAGAGACCCACTGAAAAAAAAAGGATTTCTTATTCCCTGCTAGGAAAATGGGCAGCTGTTTGGTCTTTTCGGAAGGAAAATGATGGGTGAATAGCTGCTTTGTTTATTATGAAAGACTCTCCTTAAGAGTGAGAACTGGGGAAAAAAAAACCAAAAGAGAAAAAACCTTTGGGAGTGGTACGTGTTAACTGCTTTTATTAGGAAACAATAAATATTGCACTATCACAGAAGTGCTTCCTCCATCTAAGCATTCCTTCAGGACACAAAAACCCCAAGAAACAGCTTCCTAAAGGTAAAAAGCTGGTTTGCAGAGTAGTTAAACCTGTGATTTAACTTGATTAACAGAAGCATACCAGGTACATGCTCAGACACAGAAAACTTTTTGCTTGCCAAAAATATAGTCTTTTCCAGAAAATGTTTTTTTTTTTTTCCTGTGGAATAATACATCAATTGTAAAAACAAAGAACCAAAACAACCTCCAGCAGAAATAACTTTCAAATCATAAGCACATATGCCTTGATGGTGGGACAACTTATTAGCATAATCAATAAATTGGCACATGCCCCAGAGGCATATCAACAGCCCCAAATGGTAACGAGAGCATAAGTCAAAAGCTGGCCCAGAAACTACCAAGATATTTCTGGTTTTCTTTCAGAATTTTTGTACGCTCCACAAGCATCTTCATGAACATATGCAGGCGGACCACGAGAAAGCAGGAAACTGTTGGATAATTCATTAGTGTCTTTTCCCTTCAAATAAATTATTTTGGAAAAAACCTACAGAACTGAGTAACAGCTGCCTTATAAAAAAACCTAATATATTAAGAGAAAAAACAATGGGGTTGAAGGGTTACAAGCGATGTGCCTATATCACCAATAAGCCATACCAAAAGTATACTCTGACTCATGATGACAGCTCATTTCAGTTAAAAATGAATCACAGAATCATAGAATCATAGAATAGTTTGGGTTGGAAGGGACATTTAAGGTTATCTCGTCCAACCCCCCTGCAGTGAGCAGGGACATCTGCAACTAGATCAGGTTGCTCACAGCCCCGTCCAACCTGACCTGGAATGTTTCCAGGGATGGGGCATCTACCACTTCTCTGGGCAACCTGGGCCAGGGTTTCACCACCCTCATGGTGAAAATCTCTTCCTTAGATCTAATCTAAATCTGCTCTCTTTTAGTTTAAACCCGTTAACCCTTGTCCTGTTGCAACAGGCCCTGCTAAAGAGTCTGTCCCCATCTTTCTTAGAAGCCCCCTTTCAGTACTGGAAGGCTGCAAGAAGGTCTCCCCAGAGCCTTCTCTTCTCCAGGCTGAACAACCCCAACTCTCTCAGCCTGTCCTCACAGCAGAGCTGTTCCAGCCCTTGGATCATTGTTGTGGCCTCCTCTGGCCCCGCTCCAACAGGTCCATGTCTTTCCTGTGCTGAGGGCTCCAGAGCTGGGCGCAGGACTCCAGGTGAGGTCTCACCAGAGCGGAGTAGAGGGGCAGAATCCCCTCCCGCAACCTGCTGGCCACGCTGCTTTGGATGCAGCCCAGGATGTGGTTGGCCTTCTGGGCTGCAGGCACACATTGCTGGCTCATGTCCAGCTTTCTATCCACCAGTACCCCGAAGTCCTTCTCTGCAGAAGGAATTGAATCCAATTCAATTTCTCTGTAAACTTAGAAAGGCTTGAAGGGACCACTGTCCATGTTGTTTCAAAAGGCCAACATGTTTGAAGGAGAACTTAATACCAAAAATAAGCCTTTTATCCTGTCTTTGAAAGCAAGACAACAAAAAGAGCTTCCCTTCTTCATATGTAATATTTTCAACTTAAATCTAGCACAAGATTGAGGTCAGTGTCTTATACTAATAGACACAGAATTTGAAGGAAGAATGGCCCCATCTTCTATCTCACTACATGTCTGAAACCATGAGACTATTCATGTCTGCTTCTAATTTTACTTACTCTGATTTGACTTGCATCAGTGTATGAAAACCGGAATCAAACAATCATTTCTATCTACAGTATGTTCTATTGTACAAATAGTATGCTATCCTCATGTCAATAAGATATATCGTGTTTTTTCATTAGATTAGGGCCCAGGAACATTATTTCATTTCCAACTTCCAGATGAAGACTTGGGATCTTAAAGTATTAAGTTCTTTCATATTTAAGCTTGTTATAGAATAAATAAAAGTCATCATACAGAATTACTAAAACTCTCTGCAAAAGAATGTGATTCACTGGTTAAGTGTATAACAGCCACCAAAAATAAGCATTTAAATGGTTTCAGGAAACTAAAATGTGTTAAATAAGCAAGCTGGGGATGTACTAGCATACAAACCTCCCAGTTATGCTCCTGTTGCCTCTTTCTGTTCTTGTTTAGCATGTAATTAACAAATACAGTACTTCCTCCCTGCTAACAGCCTAAGTAGCTTAAGCTGTTAATAGTGCTAGCACTGAATGACTTGAGTGGTACAACATTCCTGTCTTTATCTTTAAAATGACAACACGTGGGTGATTTACAACCCTCTTAATTCTTTTACAATCACTGCTCAAATGTACTGTGAGCAACCCAACTCTGCAAGATCACATGAGGAAAGAAGTTACTGTACATAGAATCCCATTATGCACCTTCACACTACACTGTCATCCCAAATGCCTTGAAGAGTTGCTCAAACTGAGATAACAATGGAGTTCACATCATATCCCTCACTCTTGGTTAAAGAAACTGGTTAAAAGACATGACAAATGTTTCTTTTTTGCTATTTAAAGCTCATACTGGTACAGATATATGATGCATCATTTTTTGGTTACCTAACTAAGAAAATAATACATAAGAATCCAAGAGTGCCTGACTGATTGAAAAAAAGAGTTCTCCCTCCCTTTGTATACCACTTTTCCCAATAGAAAAACTATGCCATTTTAATAACATTAATATTCAGTTCAGTCATTCTCATGATTGCAGATCTTCCTTGTTTGGGTTGATTTGAATGAGGCTAATGGCCATCAGAAAGGCTATAATAGATAGAAGGACCTAGTTTTATGTCAGAAGTTAAACTTTTAAGTAGACAAAAAGCAAGAAATTGAAGTATCCTACAAACAGTATTATTTGAACACACAGTATTATCTGATTACACATACAGGAAAAATTTCAACTTGTAATCATTCATACTTATTTATATTGTGATAATAGCAAAAAGTCATAGGTTAGGATCCAGAACCCACGCTATTGTTCAAATACAGTGGAGAATATTATACCTATCTCAAAGAGATAAATCAAAAAGGTCATAAATTTTTATAGTCCAAACCATCGTCAAACTGTTTACATGTACATAATAGCCCGAAAGTTCCACTTGACAGACCTACAGTCTGTCCATGTCAGCATTTGGAAAGCTAAAACAGAGACAGGCAGCAGTTCAACTAGTCCAGTTACTAGATGTGCAGTTCCAGCAACTAGGACATAAACCGATCGATCGGACAATGGCTTTAGCCTTGCACTCATGGATAGAAGGTGATGAATCATTTCTAATGAACTGGCTCACTTTGTATCATTCCAAAGCAAACATAGCCAGCTCTGAGTTGTTATCTTGTTGTGCATCACCAGTGAGCGTTACTGTAGATGTGGAATGGAAATAAGCTCTACTGAACTCACTCTGCAAAAAAAACATTAGCTATTAACTGTAGCCTGCAGAAGCATCCACTTACTGCAATGACAGACACTTACCCAACAACGCATTGCGCCCATTGTCATCTGGCAGGAATCTTTTATCCACAGCACAAACTAAAAGGTGATCAGGTAAATTTGGTGACTTTGCACCAACAAGTAAAAACCCTGATGGTACCTCAATATGTTCATTGGAAATTGAAACGAGTCTCAAATCTTTGCCAGCCTGGCAGAAACCTAGAAAAAAATCAATTAAACGTATTTTAAGGTGACAATTTTTTTCTTTAATACTCACAATTATCTTTATTAAAGGACTTCCTATATTTTTAATGAAAAACAAAGTTGTATCCTCTGAGGTCAAGGGCAAACAGAGAGATAATTTTCTTCCCTGCCTTTTGGTCAGCAATAAACAGATGCTACCAGTACAATAAACAAACAAACATCTGAAAATGTACATTGAAATTTTTCTTCATGATGTTTTGCAACCTACATATTTATGGGACTATTTACTAGCATCATCATAACTTAGGTCAGATATTCAAAAATGGAGATAATAGTTCTCAATACCTGGTGAATTTCACTGGCTTTTCCTGGGTTTTTGAGTATTTTTTACAGCAACATCGAATGAGGTACACTTTAAAAAAAAAGAGTAATGATAAAGCCATAAGAATTACCACATTCGTTTTAGCAAATGTTGTGCCTGCAAACTCTACCTTTTAAAGGTTGCGTTGCCTAAGAGAACAGAAGTTCTGTCCTCTTGCCAGGCATTCCACCACAAATGCTTATCTGACACACTGGGCAAAGGCCCTGTCAAATATAAGAGCAACCCAGTTTTGTCTGGCAGGTAATGAATGCTGACATTTTTAGGATTCCTGTATCATATAGATTCTCTTATTCTGATGAATTATAGGAGAAATGGCCTCAGTCCTACCCTTTTCAGTAGGGCAAATGCCTTCCAACAGTATGTTTACTGTACTTCTTACCATCAGTAGTGCAACATCCTTCTGGAGGAGGCTTCATCTGATAAGAAACAGGAGGACTACTTGATTCTGAGCCTTCTTCCTCCTCCTCTTCTTCTTCCTCCTCATTATCTGCTCTGTTGCCTGCTACAAATTATCATAGCATAAATGACTTAGACAACAGAAAATGCTGGCAACAAACCAATGAATGAACAGGGTGACCCAGTTACAGAAAGTATTACAGCAAACTGGATTTCTTCCTCTTGACAATGACTTTACTGTTGCCAACTCTTAAGATATTTGTTGTTTCCTTAAAGCTCCAACTTCCAGTCATGCTTACAACAGAATATCTTTCATTAAAAAAATAAAGCTTTTAGCTCCTATGCAAAAAAAAAAGTTCAAAAGCATAACCCAGCTGCACCTGAGAAAGTAAAAAAAACCTGAAGGACAAATAAAAAGAAGCTTCAATTTATTATTTTTTTAAATCTCATTATTTTTAAACTAACCTCATGATTTTGAGAGGCCTAACTCCTGGTGTATGAACTCTTAATGATCACAACAGTGTAACTGTATCCTTTGTTTATAATATTAACAGCCTATATAAACCCAAAGTCATTACTTCTTAGCACTTTAGAATATCCTGGATACAGACCAAGTACAGATTTTATTAATTAGGCATTGACCATGTCCTTGATGTTGTACAGGAAACTGAAGAAACGGTTCCTGCTTAAAACTAAGCTCACCACAGATGATGCCATGATAAGAACACCTAATTCTCAGGCTGTCTGTCTCCTACCAGAATCCAGAGCTCTGAGAAAAGCATCGCCGCTCCCTGTACGTCAAGGAAAGGCAGATGTCTAGGAAGACGATTCACAGCAGCCTGTGCATGGACTGTGCTAGTCTAGGAGGCAATACTGAATGCTGTTGAGAAGAACACATGACGTAGGCTTTATTTTTTAGAGGGCTTCAGGCATTTCTTCTTCAGATTCTCTGCTGTAAGATGCTTTTTTGCTGCATCAGCTACCTAAAGTAGTATTTTTACCTGATATCTTACTTGTTAAGAGAATTCACCTGCATATTATTGGGTATGTTTCATCCTTTCAACTCAAGATTTCTTCTTTACTTTTGGAAAGTAAAATAGCAGTTAGGCTCCTACGTTATTCTGTTGATCCAGCTTTTAGTCTTGAAACAAAAACAATGAAGCACACTGCAGTCATCCTCCAAAGCTCAGTGTCAACTGGACATACTCTCTTTGCTTCAACTGACTTTGGATAAGGCACTCAGGATCCCATAGGATATTCATCAAGGATTTTTTTTTTTTCTATGACCCTCCTCAGAATAGCTTTTTATTTTATTGAGAAATGATTGCAGAATCAGCTAAATAAATACTACAGGATAAATGAGAATTAGGGAGGAAGGTGAGGAAAGTAAATCTGGAATTTGAAGATTTGTCTCTAAAGGTTATTAAGACTTACGCCCCAATCTAGAAGAGGATTTGAAGCGTATGTTTACTTTTAAGTATCTAGATGTACTTCAGTCCTGGTGCACACAGATAAGGACAGAACGTTAAACGTAACTGTTTTAAGGGTGTAGTCTAGAGACAAAAATGCTGGAAGTGAACAAGAGAAAAGTGAAGCTCTCCACCTTTGCTATTTAAGTCAGGGGTAAGTTATGTGTTATGACTCAACCTTGACTAACATCCAAATGCAATGAAAAAGGGGTGAATCTGGCTCTCCTCGCTTGCCCCATACTCCCAGCCATGAGGTTCCTTCCTTCTTCTTCGTGCCAGCTTACCCGAGCCTGTGCTGAGCCATCCCAGCTTGCTAACCCAGCAGAAAACTAACTGAGCAAGCAAGAGTGACCAGGTTTTCTTACTGGGTTTATGTATTAAATTATCTCAGTGGAAGATCCAAAAAATGCCAAAACTGATGAAAAAGAAGAAAACAGAAACATACGGTGAGGAGGAGTGGGGGGAGCAGGATGTGGGTTTTCCCCTTTAGGCGGTGGTGAACTGTTGGGTTTGTTTAACCATAACAGGTGATTTCACATAAAAAAATAGAAGACAGACAAACAAGAAATAGAAGTGGAGACTAAGAAATAGGCAAGCTACAGTGCTTCCAGGTCAAAATTGAAAAAAGTACAAGAGCAAATATATACCTATAATACACGAGAATGAGCTGCTCTCATCTGTGTGAAGGGCATCATTAGCGTTTCTCCTGCTTGTTTTAAAAAAAGATCTACAGTTTCTGCTTCATTTTAATTTTAAAGCAGGGTTTCTGCAAAGAACTCTGTTTGCATGTGTCTGTTCCACATCTTTTTTTCTTAAACAATGCCAAAAGAACACACATTCAAGCGCTCAAAACCAGAGACAAGATGATGGCAAAAGTGGACTCACAACCATAATTCTTCTGTTATATGTTACACAACCAGGCAGCCAGCTGATGTAACTTGAACAGCTCCATTAAACCAACAGACATACTGTGAAGATTTTGTCCATGTTTTATTGGATTTAAATTTATTCATAGATACCATAAACATGATCGTTTGCTTTAAGGAATTAGTCTCAGTTCTCACGAGGGATTTATTATTAGACCTTTATGTTATACATTTGTGATTAAGACATTTCACATGGAAAAATTTTCTCTCCTTAAGGTATAATTCAAAGATAAGTTAAGTTCTGCAAAAATTTTAATATACTTATAATTTTTCCTAAGTGGGACTATTCATAGGGCTGATATTATCTACAAACTGATTGCAGCACCAGGTTTTAAATCAACGGTCACAAAATATAATTGTATCCATGAACAGACAGCCTCCCTTAAATGCAGATCAAGGAAGGAACCAGTTAACCACAGACACAATTTAGCTGCAAAGCTCACATCAGAACGTGGTGCTGCTGTCAATCAGAGCTGAATCCAACAATATTCAATGAACAAGAACAACACTGCAGTGGAGCCAGCTGCCACACTGCTGCTCTGCATTTGCTTTGCTGCTTCCCAACCTTTTCCCACTGAAGTCCCAGTGATATCGGTGGTATAGGACTTGGATGCTAATGGAAAAACAATGCTTGTCGTTAACTTTTGAAATCAGCTTCACACCTCTTTGGCACAAACATAATACACAGGCCTAAAAGATGGGACCCAAATGCATCTAAGAGCATAAGAGAAAAATGGAAGAAATGTCTTTTTTCTTTGAGAAATCAGATGTGATTAGAGAATTGAAACTGTGAATGTGGTTGTGATTCAAATGGGATTTTGATTTCAGAAGTGAAGAATTAGATTAAAGAGCCTCACTGATTTGCACGTACTGACTTTAATAACTGGCAATCCAGCACACAGGTTTAATTTGCAGTTTATATGGTAATAACTAGGCAAACAGAGGTATACAAGAAATCTAAACCTATTAGAGTCAAATAACCTTGCCTTCTATCGCAGAGTTTTTCATACACTTTCCCAGAATGTTCCTGAACATCCTGACCGTTTACTGGCATTTGCAGATATGTTCTTCAATTCCAAAGTCTAAGAAAATTAAGAAGATTTTAGAAGACCCTCATTAGGAATGTAGGACCAGTGAGAGCACAGCAAAATGCAGGTTTTTTGATAAAATGAAAAATCTAGCAAGAGGTTTGTTTAAATAATGATAATGTTTTTGGACTATTTTAAGCACTACATGAATTTGCCACGTCTGGAGGAGAGGAAACACATCAATAATAAAAAGGCATCAAAAAAAAAAAAAAAAAAAAAAAAAAAAAAAAAAAAAAAAAAAAAAAAAAAAAAAAAAAAAAAAAAAAAAAAAAAAAAAAAAAAAAAAAAAAAAAAAAAAAAAAAAAAAAAAAAAAAAAAAAAAAAAAAAAAAAAAAAAAAAAAAAAAAAAAAAAAAAAAAAAAAAAAAAAAAAAAAAAAAAAAAAAAAAAAAAAAAAAAAAAAAAAAAAAAAAAAAAAAAAAAAAAAAAAAAAAAAAAAAAAAAAAAAAAAAAAAAAAAAAAAAAAAAAAAAAAAAAAAAAAAAAAAAAAAAAAAAAAAAAAAAAAAAAAAAAAAAAAAAAAAAAAAAAAAAAAAAAAAAAAAAAAAAAAAAAAAAAAAAAAAAAAAAAAAAAAAAAAAAAAAAAAAAAAAAAAAAAAAAAAAAAAAAAAAAAAAAAAAAAAAAAAAAAAAAAAAAAAAAAAAAAAAAAAAAAAAAAAAAAAAAAAAAAAAAAAAAAAAAAAAAAAAAAAAAAAAAAAAAAAAAAAAAAAAAAAAAAAAAAAAAAAAAAAAAAAAAAAAAAAAAAAAAAAAAAAAAAAAAAAAAAAAAAAAAAAAAAAAAAAAAAAAAAAAAAAAAAAAAAAAAAAAAAAAAAAAAAAAAAAAAAAAAAAAAAAAAAAAAAAAAAAAAAAAAAAAAAAAAAAAAAAAAAAAAAAAAAAAAAAAAAAAAAAAAAAAAAAAAAAAAAAAAAAAAAAAAAAAAAAAAAAAAAAAAAAAAAAAAAAAAAAAAAAAAAAAAAAAAAACCCACCAGAATGAAAAAACATGCTATTATTGGAGCCAAGGAGATCTGACATTATGTCTAAACCAACTTAGGTGAATGTGGTAGTTTTAATTTACATAGCTACAAATAATTTTATAGGCATATCTAATTGTAGAAATTGCTATAAAGACATATGTTTATAACGTATGTTTTTTTTAAATCTAGAATGTGTAGACTGGAAAACCATTCATTGGAAAATACGCGTTTGCAAGTTCATTGCAAAAAATACAATATCTAGGCCAGAAGGGACCAATGTGTTCCTTTAACTTATCTCCAGGCATACTAAAGTCTCTTTTGCACAAATAAATTAATTTAGGCATAAATTACCATGATGGATATGTAATCATATTAGGCCACTCTCAATGGCCAGGTACTTTTTTGTTTGTTTATTTAGACAGTCATTTATGTATCAAAAGGAGACAGAAAAACGTGTTTTAAACAAAAAATATAAACCTAAAAATAGTGACTATTTACAACAGGGAATTGATAAAGATCAAAAAAAACATTTCCAATTGTTCCAACTGACTATATACTAAATTGTCAGGCTTTCTAGCAATTTTGATATTGTAACATCATCAGATACAAAAAACCATAATATCAGCCTTATTTACCAGTGGCTGGTTTTGTTGCCAAATGGTACGTTGAGCATCTATAATGCGTTATCAGTCCACAAAATAGAAAGCCAAAACACTTGGGTTGCACTGACCGACTGCACTACCTTGCCTAAATTATTTTTATCATGTCTGCTTCACCACAAGGAACCTCTTGCTGTACTGAGGAACAGCAGGCAGCTATGATCAAGGATAGTCCAAGTATATCAGCAGGTCACATTGCCAGGGCCAAGAAAAGACAACAGTCAGAGGCGGGGACAGGGACTTACACAAGACCCCAAGGATGGCTCTCTGCTTCAGATGCCTCCTGCCCCTCAGAGCATGGGGATTCATGTTGCTAGAAGTGGAAATTACAATTTATGATAAGGCTGCAGTGCACCGTGCCAGCTTGCAGACCTCCCACCTGAGGAACAACCTAGGAAAAGCTCTATTACAGGTCCCTTCAGAGCTCCCCTCATCTGAGACTTTCATGAAAGGAATGTTCTCCACCAGGCTGTTGTGAGACTTTTAATTAATTACAGTTCAATACTGTTTCCATTAACTGCAAAGAAAACAGAATCAGCCCCTCATGGTTTGGAAAGGTCTTTGAACGCCTTGAAAGAAAGAAGTTACAGAAGTGTGAAATAGCACTTTTATTCCTGAACAATGCATCTGCTCCTGTAGCATCTTTCCCAACTGATGTCATAATCCATTTTTGACATCACAGTTGGTTGCCGTGGAAAAGTTTATGAAATCCTCATAGAAGGGTTTGATAGAAGGATCATTTTGTGTAAGGAATAAGCAACATATATATTTAAACAATTAATGTATACTCATCGTTATGTCCTATATTAGCAAAACAAACAAACAAAAAAACCAAGAAGAAGTGACTAATTGATGTGTGAGCTGTGAGCAGATTTACTTTTTCAAGGATTTTTTTACCATGAGGTAATAGTAAAGAGTTTAATCTGTGCAAAATACTTTTATCTACTAATGCTACTTCTTGGGCTGATATTTTTTTTGTTCTGTTACCGTGGATTGTTAACCATTATGCATTTTTCATTACATATAAATCTAAGCCATCTATAACAAAGTATAACAGGGGAAGTAGACCTGGTCAAAAGAAATAAAACACCGCCCTTGTGACAGAAATGGCTCAATAATGAAATTATTAAACATAACCTTGCACCAGCATGCCAGTGTTCTGCACAGACCAGTAAAATCACTGAAAACCACGAGACTTCTACACATAACACCACACCAAAACACCAACTTGTATTATGAGTTTGCTTATCAGATCCACACAGTTCATTTAAACTACACTACTTCCAAGAAAAAAAAAAAAAGACTGAGCAAATTGAACACAGAAAGCACACAAAACATACACAAAAATTCAGTGAGACATCCCATGTGTTAAATACCAATTTGTGCAGGGTTTACAAGAGAACACATCTGCAATTTTTGCCTTTTCAACCACAGACTAACTAAAAATATTATGCCCAAAGTAATTATAAATATCCTTAAAAAATAAAAATACTTCTGCTGTATTTTTTCACAATTAAAGTTAGTCTTAGGATATATAATTTATAAATCTATCATGTGTTTGCCATGATTTACTGTATAAATAGCAGTGTATGGTAGATTATAGGATATAACAGATTTATGTTCCAAATCTCCAGTGATTCCTCCACACGTTTAATGGAACAATTCCTAATACTTCAATTTATGCATATTGATAAATCTGAGCAAACAAGTGGCTTAATTCTGCCAAAATAAAAGATAATGCAGTTTGTATTTTTAATCCAATTCTAATATATATATTTTTAGAACATAAAAAATCCAGAGAAAAACCTTAAATACTTCTGATTTTTTATATTATGATCTGAAATGTGTGAGCTGAGCCTTGGGAGAGCAAACAGCAGAATTGTCTTTGAGCAGAAATATAAATGCCACCATTTCCTACCTTCTAGTGATGACAGTTGCTGTTCAGCTTCCAAATACAACTGAGAAAAGATTGGTCTGGGAACTAAGTTGTTTGAGCGGAGAGAGGCCTCAATAGAATTATGCAACACTTCTTCAAACCGTGTAGTCTTGAGCTGACCAGCGTAAGAATTTCCCATCTTCTAAAAAAAAAAAAAAAAAAAAAAGAGGCAAGAAGAAAAGAAAAAAATTTCAATTTTAGTACTCAGAACTCAATCACTGCATGTTGATGTCAGACTACAACATTTCTCATGAAAGAGAGAAGCTTCATTGTCCACAAAGAAAGGCAAAGGAAAAGCACATTGACTGCGGCGCTCGCTGAGCAGATCCTGCTGGTAAATTACAGGAAGTTATCTAAAAGTAACAGCTTTCTGTAATTCAGCAGAGAGGCAGCAAGCTTTGACGCCTTCTTGAAGAAGGGGCTAGAAATCTGATTCGAGTCATTCCTTGGTTTATATAGCAATTGAGGAGATGCATTTTCAATAGTCAGCAATCTCATCTGTCAAGTAGCCTTTCTGTTTTACATGATTTGAACAAAATACATGTTAAAGGATCTGGAGAATAGCACAGTTTTCTGTATTTATCTTTGCATGGCCCATCATGGCTGAAAACTCGTGCCTAAAACTGTTCATCATATCTTTAGAGGTGCTGTCTCATAAATAATGTAGCATTGCTGTAACTCAGATATTGTGAAATATAATGGCTTTTCCTCCTCACCTTAAGCAGCATTTGTCCCTGTAAACATGCTTTTTTTCTGGATTTTTTTTTTTTTGAGACATATTGATTATCTATATTAATTTAGATTTAATTATTAGGACTTTGTTGTTAGTGAAACCTCATAATTTACTTATTCTGTCACTGAGGAGTCAGCCTATTCCAGCTGAATCTCCCACGTACTTAACTGCCGCCTGCTTTCCACGGCGAATACAATGAACTGGTAGAACCAAAAGCCACGTCAGCTCTCTTTTCCCATTACAAAGTAGCTCTTGCCCTGGGCCCCATGTCCTTTCCCTCCTCAAGTAACTGTGAATAGAAAGCATGAAACGCTTCCTGTTTGTGGCAGTAATTCCTAAACACTGAACAGCCCCTCCTCAGCACTGGGCACTGCTTGGGAAATGAGCCCGTCGGGAAGCATCCTGTAGGAATCACTCAAGCGAAAGAAAAACTGCATACGAAAGAAGAAAAAGTTGACAATTTGGATATCTTTTTATGACTTTGTAAAAACATATTTTACATATATAATCGTATTTCTGTATGCTTGTTTGTAGAATGTTAATATTAATAATTATGTTAATATTAATA